GGCGGGGGGGGGGGGTTGGCTCTTTTTTTCGGGAGATAGGGAGGGAGATGGAGAAGAGAAGAAGGCACGGTGGCATGGCCCTCTGCCCAGGCCCCTGGAGCCTTATGGGATGGGGTGCGCACCTGCTAGGACAGGGCCGCTCCAACAAGCGCGATTTTGGGCCCTACACACGGAAGCATCAGAATCAGAATCGCCAAACCTAGCACGCACGTCCTTGGTATGGCATTCCTCTTTGCAGTCTTGGCGCTGAGGACCATGCACATCCACCGATACACCCGGTTCGCTGTGGCGACTCGGCCTGAAAGTTCGCATTGCGTTGGCTGATAGCTGCACAATGGATCTGGCGAGGCGAGCGTGGCCAATTCAATGACGAGTCGTGGCGCGTTTACGAGCTCATCACCCGACGCTTGCTGTGGCTTTCAGAACGCACCTGCTTGCTCCTGTCAGTTTGTGCACCTTGACACCTGACAAGGACACTTTTTGGCATGTTGTGCCCCCGACGCGCGAGGGAACCGAACAGAGGTGGAAATATCGATCGCAGAAGAAGAGTTTGCAACCTCCGGAGATATAGTGCTTGACCGCGGCTGGTTGGATGTTTATCCTTACTCGAATTGGGTCAACGACCCGCTCCCTCAGTTTCGAAACCAGGAGGTGGTGGCCTTCTCGTTGTTGGAGATGGCGGAATCCAGGACTCAGCCGCCTCCGCTGCTCAGCGAGGCAGACCTGATTTCCCTGATGGATCGTGAGAAAATAGGGACGGACGCAACGATGCATGACCACATTCAGAAGATACAAACCCGGACCTACGCCGTGAAGAACGCAGATGGCCGGCTTGAGCCTTCGAGGCTAGGACTCGCCCTGGTTCAGGGCTACCAAAGGTTTGCGGCGGAAGAAGGCATGGACCTGTCCAAGCCGATCCTGCGAGCTCGCATGGAGCGTGGGATGGAAGCAGTGGCCGCAGGCCGACAAAGGAAGGAAGACTTCCTACATGAGGCCTTGGACATAGCTCAGCGATGCTATGCTGCTCTGGAGCGCAACGCCCCGGCCTTGGACCATACACTCGGCCAGCACTTCTCGAGTCAACTGGACGTGGGACGACGTGCGCAAGTGGTGCAGGCGGCCTTTTCCATGTGTCGCTGTGGTGCGAGCATGGAGCTGCGCCGCCATATGCCGGGAGGTCCTCCTGGTGGCGGAGCAGTGCGTGGGCGAGCTCGGGGTCGCGGGCGAGCTGGGAGGGCAGGGCGAGGGCGAGGGCGAGCGCGAGCTGTCCGTGGTCGTGGGCCCGTACAGAGGGGCCGAGCTGCCGTGTCTCGACAAGAGCTCTTCCTCGTTTGTCCTAACGGCGCTTGCGGTGTCGTCCTGCGCCTCAGCTTGCGCAGTGACCAGACCCCTACAGCCTATGGACACATGTGCCCAATCTGCGACTTCCAAGTCCTGAACATTAAGAACGAGGAGAGTCGTTTTAAATACGTTTAGGTTTAAACGGTCTAAACATGTTTGGCCAGTCGGCAGATGTTTGTTTGTTTAAGCAGTGGCTTCACAGTGAGATGTTTCAACCATGGTTTAAGCATGTCAAGAAAGGCGTTGAAGTTGAAACATGTGTAAGCGCGCTTGTGCCAACGCCCGGGGTGCCACACATCCCGCATGTGTTTAAACCCGTGTTTAAGCATAATTTTTTAGGGGCTGAGGCTCAGGGCCAGGGCTAGGAGTCTGGAGTTTCGGGCTCAGGGTTTATTGTAGAATCAGCCTCAAGCGTTAAGGCCGCCCCTGTTCTAGTGCTACCCTTATCCCAGCACGGGCGCGGAGGTTTAAACCCTTAGCCCTGTGGTTAGTTTAAGCTGGATGGGACAAGTTTAAACACTTTAAACATGTTTAAACATGGGTGAGAGGATTGCCCGAATGCGTTTAGACGTGCATGTTGAAGCATTTTGCCTCATGTTTGGCTTCATGGCTATGGTTTAAACATGACTCGTCAGAAGGTTTTCCTGGTTTGAACATTCAGGGTTTAAACATCGGTGCGTTTAAGCAGATTAAGCGAAACCCCCGCCCCAGCTCGGCGAGGAGACGCAGCGCAACCATCAGCTGTGTCCTCACTGCTTCAACTATGTCCCGCAAGATCTTCACCCCGGTCAGACGGAGCTTCGCTGTTTTCAGTGTGTGCATCCAAGTTGCTTGCTCGCAACTCAAGCAGTCTTTGCCTTTCGTGCCCAACCTTACATTCTTCTTGGCTTCATGACACGACAGGCATACATTCCAGTCTGATCTTAGGTTGCAGACTTGCAGCAGGACGTCGAGCTCCAGCTGGAGCTGGAGGTGCAGGGTTGGCTGCCGTAGATGAAATTTGATGAAATGTCCTATCCTTCCATAATATGAAGGGTCACTATGGGTCCGTGCAGGTGCTGCTGCGGCTGCTGCAGTCATCGCTGCGGCTTTTTGAGCTTGAGCCCAAGCCTCTGCTTTTCGTCCAGGGTGCTGGTGCGAGACGGTGAGACACTAGGAGGAAGAGCATGAGGGTGAAGTCTCCCTTTTTCACTATTTCATGTCCATCGATATCCTGCATCTAGGTGCCGCTTGATCGTGGTATGGAGTCTCTGGTACGGACATCGCGGTGAACACCAACACCTTCCCGTCCAAGAATTCGGTTCGTATGTGTCTAGCGATGAAGCCACTCGCTTGCATCATTGCTGGCTTCAGATTTCCCCAACTTTTGGGTGCACGAGGGGAGATGTGGTACCGGGATATGGGCGAGACAGTACTGGCCTCCGCAGCCGGGAAAGTGTGTGTCATATTCGACAGAACGACATGATGCTGAGCTGCGGATGAGAACTTGGCAGCATGTTGTTGTAGTTCCGCCAAGCCGATCTTCGGCATCTTGATTGAGAGCGGGGTCGGCATCGGACACTTCGGCAATTTTGGGTTTTGATTTTGGTGTGATGGGACAAAAGGTTCAGGGTTTTGGGTTGGGACGTGGGGTTATGGGGTAGGGTCTTGTCTCTCATTGTCTCAGTGGTTCGGGTCATTGCGGGCTGATGTTGGGCGTCTCAGGCCAAGCTGTGCTGCTGACTTTAAAGATCTTCGGCAAGCGCCGCTAAATGCTTCTGATATCCAGAACGGCGAAGTCGCCAGCACCTGGGCTTGACACATGCTTGCCGACAGTCGTACGACGGTACACTCACACGGTCAGCGCATTCTGCGAGCTGATCCGATCTCTGACACTTGCCCCAGGTGGTGAAGGGCAACGACATAACCGGCCCACGAAAAGATCTTGTTGCCATTTCTTGCCCGTGCATCTGGCCGATTGGTGCATCCGACGTGAATCTAGAAAGTGTTGCCAAGGCCGGAGCAGCTCATCGAGGTACCCGCCCTAGTTACTACCGGCCAAGAGCCCGCCCTCACCCAACATGTTATGAAGATTTCCTCGTGAAAGCATTCCTGTAGCTGCTCACGAATGCAGTTGAGATCAGGCCGGAGCAGATGGCGACTACGAGTTCATCAGGTGCACCACTCTAGCGCTTCTGAGACTGCGGAGTCGGAGTGATCTCGGTCCAGGCTCTGCGTTGAAGCTGGAGTTCCGCTGGACATTTTCAACGAGCGTGGAGTCTTGCTCTCAGCTTCGACACGCTTCAAACATGATGCTGATGATACGACAAGGTGACGCCGCTGATCTTGGCTACCGTCAACAACAAGGTGGCAAGCGCGCGGGGCACCCAAGATCACTCTTGTTAAGATGCCTACTGCCTTGCGGACGCTCCTGATCGAGGAGACTCTTGCTTGAGTCTGGTGCTGATCCGTCCATGCAGGTGAGAACCAATCCCGTGCCACTTGCGGGACCTGGGCTCACTGATGCCTGCTCTCATGCCTGCTGTCAGGACATCAATGGCGCAACCTGTGCTCACTATGCCATTGAACTGCGCCGCTTCCAGGCTCTTTCAAAGAGGGGCCGAAGCAACCCTCGTTCCATCAGTCACGGCTGTTCCGCCCTGCTCAGATTTTGGACGCGGCTTTGGAAGCCATGACCCGCCGACGAAGTTGGCTGGTTTGCTCCTGAGACTTCGCGTGGAGCACCGGGTGTCACTCTGATTTAATTGATATGCCTTGCCCCCCAGCGGGCATGCGATTGCATCTGTTGCAGCCAAGTGCCGAGGGAATATACATCAAGGACGCACGAGGCGGCTGGGACGTCTTGTCTGGTTGAGGGTTTGGGTGCGTGTGCTGCCCGGAAAGGCTACAGCGTCCTCGACTACGCTCGCCTGCCGGGCATGGTCCTCGGTCATGCTTGAACGGAGGGAACCTCCGCAAGTAGAGAACGGCCTTTGTGTGAAGTATAGTGCGGCGTCGAAGCAATGGCGCTATGAGAGGAGGCCAGTGGATGTAGGAGCTAAGTTCTCCCGGACAACCCTGGTCGCCGGCTAGCAACGCTACCATGCGATTGAACAACGTGTACCGCTTAGCCACTCAAGTTCCGAGACATCCAGACAAGTTTTTCTCAACGGCTATTGCCTTTTTCTTTGCGGAGTGGTGGTGGTGGTGGTGCTGCTGCTGGTGGTGGTGGTGGTAGTGGTGGGGGACTAAGTTGACCTGGCTCTTGGCTTTGTTTTTTTGCAGTGCCACTGCTCTGCCTTCCCGACCTTTTGCTTCTATGCCCGTCCGATATTTTGGATTGGCATCCCGCCCTTTGCACTTCCATGCGTCGTGGTGGGGACAAGACCAGCCGGTACTGAGCTTCAGGAAATAATGCTTGCAGCCTGTCTCACCTCGGGCCAGCAAGTGCCATTCTCCTGGCATATAGCAGCCATCTTCAATCGACCGCGTGGTCGTAGCTCACCCGATCCGCTGTCGCGAAAAAGCAGAAGTGGCTGCAATCTTTCCCA